TACAATTGCCGTCACTAAGATTTGAACTGGCAACCTTGCGATTTGTGACCTCGGAGCATAACCGCTATGCTATCAACTCTAGAGGTCTACAATCTATTTTAATAACTTTTAAATTGTTTTATTAAATTATTTATTTTTTTGAATTGTTATCCTTCAAGTAGCAAATCTAAGGTTCAAATCTTACTTATGATAAAATTTGAAAATTAATCTATATTACAGCAAACTGTCTCTTGATAATCAGTTGGATTGGTGTATCTGTAATCTTAAGTTGCATCATTTCAATAAAAGTTTGGACCATTTATGCAAAGTATAATATTACACATATATAGAGAAATTTTATTACTGATATCATATAAGACTTTAATACAAACTTATGATAAGACTATCAGGCACAATAAACTAAGAAACTAAAAAGTCAAAAACTTATTTAAAAATTTCTAAATAAAGAGATAGCATGAACTTTCAACAGTATGATCAGACCAATAAAAGCTTATAAAACATCTTTAAAGAAATAGGCAAATAAACTAGATGACAAAATGTATAGAGAAGCATATGATCAACCAGGTTACCAAAATTATTAGAGGAAAAGAATATATATATATATCATACTAGACTATCTGAATTGAAAGTCAGAAGAGTCCTATTAGTTCTAAGTAATAGTTAGTAAAGGATAATAGAAAAAATATTACAATAATAGGTACTGAAGTTCTAATGAATTTTACAAAACTAGAAATAATATAATATAGTGATTAAACAGGTAATTTTTGTGACTGCAAGTGTTAAATAACTATAATATGTTTATAAAACTAGATTAGCTGTATATAGAATATAGAAGGTTCTAGTAAGTTTTCTGTTAAAGATAAATTAGTTCTAAAGATCTTGAAAGCATTAGGTACTTTGAATAGGTGTAGTCTAGAAGATGTTCTTATGATTACAAATCAGACTACATATATAAAAAGGTTTAAATAGACAAGACCTATAGTTGGCTTGCAAGTATAACATCTAGTATAGAACCTGTATAGTAATATATAAGTAGACTACTTAAATTAGACACCAAAAGTACATATATGGCTAGTTGTAACCTCCTATATATAGAACCCCTAGAGGCATCTATGTTCAAATACTTGAATATTCCCAAAGGTAAAGACTTTAATATTAAAAAAAAAAAATTATTTATTTTTTTGAGATCTATTTTTAGTTTGCCTAAAAGGTAACTCTCTAGTATATATCTCAAGCCAAAACTTTGTTACTATTGCTAACTTTCTAATTTAGGTATTGATAATATATATCTTAAGTCAGGTTCTTACTGTTTTTATTAATTTGTAATTCTTCTTGGTCTTAGTATTATTTTCAACAAATTATACATCTAATTTGTTCTTATATACTTCTTTTTATAATATAAATAAAACAGTATTTTAAAAAATTATTTTCTTTTAACTGTTATAATAGTATAACTATTATTTTTAATTTAGATATATAGTATTTATATTAATATGTTTTATTTGTTTTGTTATAGGTTTCTATATAGGTGTAATCAAAACTTTAGTTTAAAACCTTTAAATATATAAAAACAGACTACAACTTCTCTATATATGCAATTATCTTTTATTTTTAATTATTTTACAGTATCAGAAATGCTTCTAATCTTGATAAAGTCAATCTTTTATCATAAATCTTCTTTACATATATTGCTTTTTTCATTATTTTAATTTATATTATCTTGATATTACTCTTTCAATCAAGTACTCTATAAGTTAGAACCAAAATATTAATGCTACTCAATGTTTAAAAGATTTATTTAAATAACTTTTGTATATCAAAACTTTTTATAATATTACTGTAACACATAGTACTCATACTCTGTAAAATCAATCTTCTTTTGAGAATTCGTGTTTCAATTATATATTGTACTTATACTTTACCACAAGATTTTATGTTTAATTATAAACTTATTTTCAAATTACAAAGACTAAAATCTTTTTAAATTTTGCCTTTAGTCAAACTTGAACCATTAACCTTAACAGAAAGATATGAGAACTTAACTACTAAACTATGAAATCCACACTCTTAAAATTTATTTAATTATTTAAATATTTATATAAAATTTAAATATTATTTACAAAATAATTAAAACTGCAAATATACTTATATTTTATACTTCTCTTCTATGATCATATGTAATTATTAATAAGAATTATGCAATTAAATAGAATATAAGTATATGACCTAAAATGATCTAAAAAGAATATGACTACTGGTTATATGACTATATGACCAATGGTCAGGCTTATGACCTGGTCAGAACCCATCACTGGGCCATATAACCATAGCGATAGATAACAAAATTTTAATTTATACAATATGGTATTTTGAATTCATACGGCACTAGGATTCATGCGGGATTTTGGATTTTGGATTCCATGTGGTTTTTGCCGCAACCGTTGCTGTGTGTCGTACGGTTCATTGGAATATTTTCGCCTGCACATCTAGTGGGAATAAAATTTAAGTTGATCCTGAATTTTTTAGTTAGGACAGTTATTTTTATTCTGTTCCAATCCCACTTACAACATACATGAAACGATTCCTCCAGGAGCATAGACACTTTGGCAGGCACACAAAATTTTTTCATACAGTGTTGCATCGTGCGGGTTTATTCGAAATTAAATAAATTTATATTTATATAAAAATATTATCAAACATACGGTCTGAAATTGATTTATTAAGACAATGAATTCCTGAGCTTGATGAATTCAACTCTAGTACTATTATGAATTGGCACTCGTCCAATAATTCGGGTAGACACCTCACCCTTTCGATGCAATTTTTTTTACCAAGCATCCGGATTGTGAATCTCGATCAAAAGTACAAACGACTGAATCACTAAAAGCCAGTCCACAGGTAAAGGAAAAATAAACAGGAATAATATATGATATTTATACTTACCGCAAACCCAACCACAAAAAAGGGAAATTCTATTTTAATCCTGGTTAAAGTCACCCAAACCATTAATGTACTATTAATTTAATTAATTACGTGACCACAACCTTAACCCGAGCGAAAATAGTTTTTTGAGATATTCGTTTTGGATTTGGCCCAAATTATAATAATTTATGATTTTTGTCAGCAAGTATAGTGATATCATGCACGATACCCAATATAGTGAGTGATCCCTATTATATATTGGATAAAATAACCTTCGTTTAATAAAATGTTTCGTTAATCAGATGTTAATATGCTGATATTTCATCGTCATAACTGATAATAACAGCTGACCTTTGTCAATAAAGATCTACATAGTGCGTAAGACTTTATCGTGGGAAAATAACAGTGTATAAAAATCACTGAAATTGAACATCCACAATCGACATCTTCCTGAATCTTGTACCGATACAATATTCATTATATATTGACTTAAATACATAATAAAATAATGGTCCCTCCGCCGATACCAGTAGATTGTATTGAAGAAATAGTAGAATTTCTCGAAAGTAATATTTGTACATTACACTCCTGCTTGTTGGTAAACCGCCTCTGGTGTCAAATAGTAGTTCCCATCTTATGGCGTCAACCGTTTCGTTATAAACGCATTAATCCTTCTGCGAAACTTTTACAAACTTATTGGTCATGCATGACTGTGGATTGCATACTTTCCGAAGATATGCTTGTTTTACAAGAATTCAATATTAAATTACCTGATTCCAATCAACCTTCAATGATTTTTAATTATCCATCATTTATAAAAAGATTAAATTATCGTGATTTATATGATTTTGCCGGGAAATGGTATGGTGATCCTAATAATTTACGACGTAAGAGGCCGTTTCGCCAGGATCCAATGAAGACAATCGCAAAATGTTTATTCAATCTTTTTATTACCAGAGGCGCGAAATTCGAATACTTATTTTGGGATAATGGAAACGATCTTATCGAGAAAATGTCTGACAATTGTGATAGTGATAGCGATGAAGATGAGGATCAGGATTTGGCTGGTGATCCTGACGATGATGATATATTTTTAGAAATTCCACCGCTTCCAGAATTTTCCGCAAATTTCGCTAATATTAAAGTGTTAGGTTGCTTTGCGAGATACGAACATTGTGAACAAACTTTTATTAATGCTGCTTCATCATGTCACGAAATCGAAACCTTGGTTGTGCGTATGTGTATGAATGATGAATGGAGTACAGAGAAAGCACAGCGTGAGCTTGACACTTTGTCCCAACTCATTGATGTTCAAAAACATTTGAAAGAATTTATATTTGTTGAATATCCTGGTCGTTTTTGGTGGAGCCCTTCTTCAAGGCTAAAAAATGTTGAACTGTCCTCGTTAAGTAGTCAGGTAAATTCGCTGACTGTTGTTGAATTTTATCATGTTGATTTTAGGTTCTGGCATCCTTTGAATTCAATAGCGGATTTGATAAATTTAGAAACTTTGGTGTTTAATAACTGTCGACATCAAGAATACGTAATGGAACCATTTCGTTTTTGTTCTTTTATGAATCTTAAAAAATTGGTAATGAAGGGATACGAAGGTATCAGTTTCATCCAATCAGATTTACTTGATACACTCTTACAACATGTGAGCAAATCTTTAATGTACCTTTCTATAGTTATGACGGCAGAAACTACAACTACTGTCATAAATGCTATTGAAAAATATCACCTTGACTTATTGGAATTAACAATTAAACTTGATCAATCACATTTCTTTGCCCTACAATCATGTCCGTTTTATAATTGTCCGAGATTGAATAAATTGGTTTTGAGTAGTTGGGGTTATGTGGAAGTTGCTGCTGATGCAATTCTGCCACAACTGGGAAAATCTTTACCTCCGAGTGTGGAACATTTGGAAATATTAGCACCGTGGATATTTAATATTCGTGCTTTGGAATCTTTTTTGGATAATTGTAAAGCTCCCTTAAAATATTTTGATATCCGATATTGCAGAGAAGTTTCGGATCAGCACATTAATCTTATATGGAAAAGATTATATCATAATTTAGAAAACTTAATTATTTCAGAGAAGGATCCTCCGTCTTCGGATATTGATGTTGATGAACAATTAAATTCAAATGGTCCTCAAGATAAAAATTACGAACTTGATAGTGAAAACACTAATTCTGGATTTGCGAGTTCAGATACCGAGAACGAGTCAAGAAATTATCAGACTGATCAAGTTAGTAATGAAGATATGCCTTTACATGAAATCGTTACAAGAACAAAGATAAGCTTAACGGTCGAGGAAACTTACGATAATAGGATTGACATTTTAAGATACAGATGGGAGTGACTATATACGTATATATTACTCTTCATCTAAGATTCACAATAGCTTTAACATAATACGTTAAAATTCTTTGGCAAGCATTTGTTGGTATGTGTTGTTTGGGTTGATTAACATTTTTTCTTGTCCATTTCAAGAGCAAACAATTAATTATATTCTTGTATTTATTGTTTAACATTCGCATTCGACTTACTATTATAATTTAGTATCCATAACCTAGCACTGTACATTATCTTACATGTATATTTAAAAAAATAAACGATTTATACATTCATACGTCTAAACATATGAGAAAATTCATATTATTACAGCCAAACATTTATAAAGGCATGAAAATATTCATTATAAATATTCTATGTTAAATACAAAAATCTTATTGATTGATGTCTTTATACTGTAATTCATTTTTTAATTATAAAGTAAAATAAGTTGTATTTATTTTTCTATTTTTAACTTGAGAGAAGCAGAGCGAAATTCTTAGGTCTTGTACAAAATATCTGGTTCCTGGTTTAACTGTTATGATTAAGTTTAGCATTCAGAACTTAAGTTAGTATTAATTTTGGGCTTATAAATAAACTGATGCATATTGTACTTATAGTCTGCATATATACCATTATAACCATGAGTTTTAATTGCTTAAATATGAAGTTTGCTACTATCATGTATTTATTGATTCTATCTATTTGATCAAAATGTTTTTTTCATCTTTTTTTTATCAGTATTTCAATATCTAAGTTTTTTTTTTTTTGATATGTTTGAGTCTGATCAGAAACTTTTATATTTGTTTAGATCTTCTGAGATGAAAAAATCTTCTTTATTACTAATATTTGTTTCTATCAAATCTAATATATTAATCTTATTGTTCAAAACCCATTCATATATCAGTTTCATTTTGTACTTATTGTTTTTTATTTCATTAATATTATAACATATATAGTAATTTTTTTCATACACCAGTTTTGTGTAACATTTTGTACACCAATTTTGATCAACCAATAAAATTGCTAGAAAATCAAATTAAAAAAATCAGTGTTATGAGTAACTATCAATTTGGTATAGGTCCATTGAAAAAGTCAGGACTGGTTCTAGTTAAAACTTGACTTTCAGAACAGTTATACAAGAACCTAATACTATACATTAATCTAGAAGCTGCTATCCAATACACTAAAATCTGGCTTCAATCAAAGCATGAAAAGATATGATCTGAGTTTTAAAGCTTGAGGCATATTGCTGTAGTTGATTTGATATTGGATTTACTCCTTAGAATAAGTATTTGATTCTTATTTAGGTCCTTCTGCTACTTCTAATATTACTATAGTGTGGGTCATATTACAGAGGCAGGATATCTGGCAATTTTGGCTAAGTAATCTAATTAATGACATTGATCCTAATTCTAATCACTTTAAGAATTTTAATATATAAGGGATCTGTTTATTAATTTGATCTCTTTCTCTATCTTTTATTAATTAACAGTATTGGATTTTTCAAAAGTCATAGGAACAAGAAATAATGATAACAAATTTTAATATTGATTATTATTAGTATTTACTCGAATTTAAGACTTCTACTAAATACTCTTCGAGAACTCTTTCTATAAATCTTTTTATACAAAAAATAATAAAAATCTGTCAGTAACAAAATCATTAATAACTAGTTATTTTATTAAGATAATTAACTTTAATGCCTTAATTAAACTTGTCCAACTCATAATTTTACATATATTTTGAAAGTTACAAGTCTTTAGCTTTTAAATTCACAGTTTAATACTACTTAAACAGCCTTTGGTCTCTGTAACTAAACTTTTAATTATTTTTTATTAACTATCTTTTTAACACACAACACTGCTCTAATAAAAGTTATAAACCATCTCTTTCTGATTATAACAAGTCTAAAAAGAAGCTTGTAGCCTCAAATTTGATAGAATTACAATAAAAAACAACTTTAACTCTCTATTATTTTTTTAAAAAATTCTTTTGTCCTTACCCCCAAATTTTTTTTCTTACATGTTTTTTGTATAACCTTAAATTATTTCTCAAATTGGTTTTATTTAATATTACATTGTGTAAATTAAATTTAACCAAAAAAGATCTTTCTTTGTCACAAAATAATTTGTGTTAATTTACTAAAAATAAATTCTGTATCTTATTACATAGTAGCCACTATAATATATAACTAATTATAATCTATATTACACTAACCACACTAGTCACACTAGTCACACTAGTCACAACTTGTGTTATCTAAGTTATACAAGGTTACATAAGCTGCAGTAAGCTGCAGCAATACTCCTGTAAACATAGAATGTACCTCATAATAAACTTTACAATAATACCTAAACTTCAAAGACTTATAACTTCAAATCTTACTAAGCAAAAGAAGCCTAATTTTTTAAAAAGTCTAGTTCAAAATGCCAACCTTAGTAAATTCTGAATCTGACTTCATTGATTTGAACTATTTTTATGAAAAATTTCCAAAATGTTTTGGTATTAAAATCTATGAAGATATGTCACAAACATTATGATCAATACCTGCTAACAGACAACCTAACACTTGCATTACTACAGAGCTTAAAGGCAGTATCAAAATCTGTCATTATTTTCAAGCATCCACTACTAGCAATACATTTACATGTTTCTGTGAAAAATACCATATATACTTTTATTCACAAAAAAACCTTATCTATAAACAATATCAAAATACCAATATTATTAAAAAATCAAAAGATCAAAAATTATTCATTTCCAAAACTATTGAGTCTACCAACTTTATTCTATTATCTTCAACCTTTTCATCTACATTAACTGTACATTAACATACTTGTAACAAGTGCAACCAACCTATTAATTATAAAGTAATTAATAATAGACATTACTTAGCTGCTGATGCCGAACTCTCTAATGACAATTCATGTTATAAATCCTGTCTTAAAACCAAAACTAAATCTGAAGCTAGCACACAACCTATTATCAATTCAGAACAAGAACTCTCTCAAGCACCTTCATTTCATAAACTTAAACAATCACTTAACACATTCTGTACCAACAATCTACTTATTTCCAAACTTAACTCTCTTACTCCTACTACTGAAGATACAGTAAACAATACAACAACTAATACTACTATCATGGACATCGATAACTTAAACCTATCTGACAATAACCAATAGCAACAACAATAATCAAAACAACAACAACAATCACAACAATAACAACAACAAGAAACATCTAAGCAATCTAAACAACAACAACAATAAAAATCACATGAATAACTAAAATAACCTTATAGCCAAGCTGCAAGATTTAAGCTCAACTCATCATTTGACTGGTTAACAAACTTTCCAGTTACTGAAGAAATGAAAAACAACACTAAACTTCAAACAGATATTTTATGAAAACTATTTAAGTTTCTTAAAGAATATCTATATAATTTCTTCTCAAAAAAAGTTATCAAACAAGTAACAGAAAATTATTTTGCACTCAAAGCTAGCTTCTATTTACTTATCTGACAAATAGCTAGTACTAAACCTAAATTCCTAACAGACTTGATTTAACAATATAATCCTACAATTGACTAATTTGCAACAATACTTTTCAATGTTCTTGAAAAGACCCTTAGAAAACTTATCCTTACATTTACTACTGTATCTTTCACTAAACTCAACTACCCAGAAATTTTTACTTCTTCTGTTACTATTCCACCTCTTAAAACTGAAAATCATTTACAATTTTGTATTAATCTAGCTCATCTTCATCTATACCTATCCAATAATTATTAAGTTATTAACTATACAAAGTTTGCAGAAGACATTAAACTTAGACTAAAAAGATTTAAAATATCATCAAAAGTTATTGGATATGATAAAAATGAAAAATATCTCTTTATCAATATGGATACTCAATTCAATATTCAACTAGAATTTAATATCTCTAAGACTCTATTTATGGACAAATACAATATTTCTTCTTTAAAAAATTTACTTTTCCACTTTAATAAATGGTTTGAAAAAGGTTTCCCACTATATAGTAGACAATTCTCAAACACTATTAACAAAACCAAAGTATCCAACTATCTCAAATACCAATTCAGACAATATTTTATTTTTTATCTTAAAGAACTTCTGCCTAGTATTCATGAATTTGCAGAACCACTATATACTTATCTGCATAGACTCTAAATGCCCTTATTTACTAACTACTGAAATACTAAAAGAAAAAGAAAAAGAAACATCTACAAACTCAAAACCCAATACTGAATTATATTTACAACACAATACATCTGCACTTACTAAACATACCTTTGATAATTCTTATCAAAAATATCCCAAAGCAGATAATGAATCATGGAATGAACCTTACCTTGACACATTTATTTTTTATACCAAAGGCAAACATGAAGCTATATTTCAAAAACAAATTTCTACTACTGTACTTGATGAATTAGCAGCAAGAGCAAAAGAATATACCTGCTCTGCCAATGCTGTTAAAACTAATCCCAAACAACATGGTTTCTACTTTTACTAATACTTATCAATCTACCAAAATACTGCTGCCCAAAATCACAATATAGATAAAATAAACAAACAACAAGTAATTGATTTCATTATAACTAAACTGACTTTCTTGCATGAGTAATTACTTATTTTGACTGCACACATAATAACTCACCAAACTACTCTAAGATTACTAAATTCTATAAAGAAAAGGCTCTTCCTGAAGCTAAATCAATTCTATACAACAAATTTAACATTAAATTTGAAATTCCTACTACTATAGAAAAGTCTCTTTTTCTAAAATAAGAGGAACAGACTCAAACTTCTTTTCACTAAAATTGTCTTTTACACAACTCATAACTGCAGCCACCACCACCTTATTAAAAGAGACTACTGCAGTATTTGATAAAGAAGATGATGTAAGTAGGCAGGTGAGAAAGTTTACTTATGTGAAGAACCAAGTAAATAACAGTCAGACTCAATACACAGAGCAGACTATAGAACTCTTCGCAGTTGT